AAACCACCCTTCTACCTCCAGTAAAAGTAGCAGAAAACTTGAAGGAAAGTCATTAAAACCCTGGGCAGCATTAGCACCTCTGCCTCATTAACATAATCATAATTAGCTCCTCCGGGAGAGGTGGAAGACAGGCTGGCTGCATCGAAATGAGTCGGGATGTGGAGAGCACCTGTGGCTATTCCTGCGCTCAGCAGCACTGGAGCCAGGCTGGGCACTGGGCTCTGCCCGGCTGGGACAACGCTCCTCCTTTTCCTGTAAGAAACCGGCCCCTGCCCAGGGAGGGAAGCCAAAACCCACCCAGGGCAAAATCCTCTCTCAGGGCTCTGCCATCCCTCTCAGCACTGTTGATTTTGAAGGCTAATAGAAAGAAAAATTCAGCCCTGGAAAGACAGACCACCTCTGAAAATGCTGCAAGGAGGGATTAGTCAAAACCACCTTGACTTGAATAAAACCTCCTTAGCGGCTGTTCGGCTTCATTAGAGCAGAGCTGAATTCTCAGCCGAAAACACCCAGAACATCTCTGTGCTCTTGACAGCTCTCAGCATCTGCGGCTCTGCAGCCCGGCTGCAGCCGCTCCCAGTGGGCCCTGGCAGACCGGCAGGGCTGGGAGAAGTGAGACTCGGAATTGCAGATCAGCAGCCAGAACAGCCACGGGAATACAGGGCTGGAGGCTGGGGAGCACAGATGTGTTTGCTTGAGGTTTTTAATCTGGAGAGTCATTTTAGCACAAGACTCATCAGCAATAATGATGTTCCAGTAATTGCACCCTTACAAGTACAGGGTTTGTTCTGAGTTCAGTAAGTGAGAATCACTGGCCCGTGAGCTGCTCCTGGTGCCAGGCAGCACTCTCCAGCACAGCCCAGTAAGCATCTCAGGCAAGGCTGAGGTGGTGTCGGCTGTGGTCCCACTCCATTGTCCCAGCAAAGCCTGGCAGCAGCTGGCAGCTGGGAGATGTCAGAACTGGGCATCTTCAAATGCAAGAATCTTACCCACCACAGCTGGGGACAAAGCAGCAGGCAGAACAGTGGCCACTGACAACTGAGGAAGTGACAGCATTAAGCCAATACTTGCCAAGCTGTGGCTGTAAGAGCACAGAAGAGCCTGTTTGTTTTTTTTCAGTGGGAGGAAGGCAGGGAGATGCAGAGATGAGGCTCATACCTAGAGAGGGAAGGACAAGAACAACTTGTGTTGGCTCCTCCAATAACAGCCTCTAATCTGCTCCTCATAAGCATCTTTCCCTCACAGCTTCCCAAGCCCTTCACAAGCAGTCAGCTCCCACTCCACTGCTAATAGTGGGTGAACATCAGCATCCTTATTTTTACAACAGGGACGTGCAGTAGGAGCACAACTTTCCCAAGGCCTCCAAAAGCCAAACAGCTGATTTTCATTCCGCCCCCACCACCTTCTGCATGCAGCCATCCCATCCCACGCACAGCAGCCCAGGCTTCTGAGCAAACATCCTCTGGAGAAGTAATTCAAAGCCAGGCAGTAAACAAAGCTCCAAAGCCTTGGCCCCAGAGATGGGAGTGCAGCCGCTCCCTGCCAGAGAGTCAATAACGACAGGCGAGCAGAAAGGAAGGAGCTGGAAGAACAAGAGTCATTAGTGGAAACTTGTTGTTTGTGCTAATTAGATCATTATCTGGAAACTGCTATTGATGTTGCTATTTTAGCTCCTGCTGCTGTTCACAACTTTATTTTATCCATGTCTATTGACTGCCCACATTCGTCTGTATCCTGCAGAAAGGGCCGGTGGTGCCGCCCACGCCAGGCCAGGATGGAGATGGTTTGTGTCCCGTGCCAGGCAGCACCTCCTTCCCCACCGTCACCTCAGCACCTGCAGTGTCCTGAGATACTCAAGAAAAATGTTTCCCTGCTTGTCACAATGTGCCCTGTGCTGTTATTGATCTAAGACAGACAGTGGATCGTGTTACTTGGTTATTAAGTAAGGTGAGAGGAAGAGAGAGAAGGACTTGGACACATGTAGGATTTCTGCCATTTCCCATCTGACAGCCAGCACAGCCCCTCAACACATAAGTAATATTGATGCGGGCCCTGTACATGATCACATTTCCCCATTGGTGGTATAAGCCATAATTTAATAACCTCAACCATTTGATTTTTGTGCTACATCATCAAGGAGTGAAGCCTGAATAACAGAGCTCTCAAGTTGATTGACTTTGATTTATTAGAGTCACTATTCTTCCTCCTGAAAGCCACGGTGCCTCCTCACCCCTTGAGTGAGGAGAGCTGTGTGCTGAGGGACCTGAGCTGATGGGAGGACAAACATGAGGCTCAAGACTCAGCAAACCACACATCAGGGAGCTGGGTTTGCCTCCAAAACTCGCATTCTCCTTTTCTCCTGCTTGTTCACCAATGTATCTGAACCTGACCTGCAGAAGGGCTTTTGTATTTCCACTGATGAGGCAAAGGAAGAGGGGAAATTGCATCACATCACCGTAAAAGGCTTTCAATTTTGTCTTTTACTGCAATTTCATACCACTTTCACACTACACCTGCAATAAATTCAGCAATGACACAAGTTAACTTAATTCTGCCATCAGAACTGCAAAAAATATTCGTCTCCCACAGCGGCAGTTGAGGCAGAGGGCAGGAGGCATGGTGTGGGGACACTGCCCCCTTCCCGGGCCATTCCTGAGCGCACAGATGTGCCACATGCCCCCTGGCACTCAGGTTGGTGGCAAGAGGCAGGCAGAGCACTGTGCCCTCCTGCCTACCTTGCTGCACACAGCCAGGATCGCTCACTCCCGCTCCCTAACACTTGCTGCATCTGGGACAGCGGTGGGGAGAACACCGGGAAACATGAGCACCTGGCGGAGGTGTGAAGCCAGGCTGCCTTCAGCCATCCTGCCAGTGCTCCCTCGCTGAGCTCTCCTTAACACACTGCCACACCCGCCAGCACTGCACTGCCAACAGAAACGCGCTCAAATAAATCACCTCCAAGTTAAAAGCAGCCATTAGCTATTAGCAAACACCGCAGGCCTGTGGGCCAGGGTAATTCAATGTGATATGCTTGGGCATGCAAGGTAATAGGTTGCAGCTGAATACCATGTGATATAATCTCTTCAATGGGAGGTTAAATGAGGCTGAGACAGAGACCAGATGGATTTATCTGGGTAGCGCTGATGATTTTTTGTGTGTGTGCTTAAGGTGAAGTGAAGGTAAGCAAGGCAGAAATAATCGGAGAAAAGCACGAGCTGGGCTGCGTGCAGTTGGGGAAGGGATAGCAGGAGCTCAGGACCGCATCCTGCTGGAACAAACCAAGCGAGCTGGAGGATGCTCTCAGGGCAGTACAGATGGAAACAGCCAGAGAAAAATAAATACTTTATCAATTTCCCCTTACGGAGGAACAACCAGAGGGCAGAACGAAACAAGTCAAGCGTAGCTGGGCAGATGTAGGCACCTCAGTGCTATTTCAGCAGGAATTTGGAGCCCGAACACCACCTCTCATTCACTCAGGCCATCTGCAGCAGGCAAAGGGACAGACCCAGTGTGCCCTCTCAGGCTGAGGAGTGACAGCAATGCCCGTCACCGTAGCCAAAAGAGGGGCAGTTCCATGAGCAGAGTCAGTACCTACGAAAATCAAGTGCTCAGCTTCTGCTTGGAGCACTTTGTTCTTGCTCAGGAGGGTAACAATGAGCTGTGGGACCACTGTGAGGCACAGCCAGACATCTGCAGAGGGAGCAGGACCTCTGAGAAAGCAGAGGAAATTCCTCCCGGTGAGGGTGGGCAGGCCCTGGCACAGGGTGCCCAGAGCAGCTGTGGCTGCCCCTGGATTCCTGGAAGTGTCCATACCAGGCTGGACAGCAATCAGAGAAACCAGGGATAGAGGAAGGTGTCCTTACCCATGGCACGGAGTACGATGAGATTCCCCCACATTGAGCTATGCCATGAAGTGCTCCCTGCTCCAGAAGGTTCCAATCAACCTCCGCAATGACAGAGACGGGAGGACGAACCAGCTCCTTCACACTCATCACCACGGGCCACTGACAGGGCTCAGTCCAGCGCAATGAGGGGAAACCCTGGACATTGCTATGGAAACCCCCGCTTCACCCCGGGGGCGCACTGACAGCCCGCGGAGCCCGCGGCTCGGGCCGCCCCTTCCCTCACGGCCCCTCCTGCCCTCACGGCCCCTCCTTCCCTCACGGCCTTTCCCTCACAGCCCCTTCCCTCCCTCACGGCCCTTCCCTCACGGCCCTTCCCGCCCTCACGGCCCCACCGCCGGGAAGGCTCTAGAAACGCCGGGCTCTGCCCGCCCCCGCCATCCTCCCGGGGACATACCCACGGTTCTGCTCCGTGAAAGCCAAGGGCATCCCAGGCACCGGACCCCATCCCGTCCCCGCGGAAGGGCTGAGCAGAGCGGGGCTGCCCGGCCCTCATCTTCGGGCAGCCCCAGCACAGCCTCTGGGGACTCCCACGTAAGGCAGTGCAGGAGCCGCGCCCCCGTCACCCCAAAATCCCCGCCTGACCGAGCACCCAGCACAAGGACGAGTGCACCTACCCCGCCAGGCCGGGCTGCAGCGGGACGAGATCTCCCCTCACGGCCAGGGCTCCGAACTCCCTCGCCTCCCCGGGGCGGCCGCCGCACCCTCCTGAGGGCACAGCCCGTGACCAGGAGAGCCCTGCCCTGCCTGAGGGCACCAGCCGGGTACAGCCGGGCTGGCAGCTCCCGGCTGGTCATTAACTGCAATTAGCGAGCACCTGCCCTGCCCTTCCCCTTAGCAAGAAGCCGCAGGTGTGCGGCAACCGACGGGATCGCTGTGGGGTCTGTGCAGTGCTCCGGAACGTTCGGCAGGGACGTGTGGGACAGGACAAGGAGTGTCCGGAGCCCAGGGCAGATTTTAGGGGATTTACCTGGAACAACCTGATGCAGAGACAGAACACAAAGGCGACACGGATTCACGGAGCGAGTCTGGGCACATTCAGGCTGCACACAAGCCTGCAGGGAAGAGGGTTAAAATTCTGGACTCACTTGCTTCAAATTTCTGTTAGATGTTGTTTTATTCTGATTTCTACTCAGAAATTAATACCAGACCCAGTGTGTCTGATAACAAGGAAGATTTCACTGGTATACAATATTCATATCATATATGTCATAAATAGAATCATGAGTGCAGTGCTGTGGTATTCTCTGAAGAGAATATATCCAAAAGTGCTGTTAAAAATCCAACGCCTTTCCTGTATAGTTTCTTTAGCTAGAGAGGTACCTCAGGATTAACAGATTATCAGTGCATTAGCATTCATATCCTGGATAAAGTGTCTCTGGTCATTTGCATGGGCACGGACTGGTAACTTAAAGGCTCTATGCAACTGGATGCTAAATAATATTCAGAGGAAATTGAATTAGACAGGAGGAAAGAGAAATGTGACTGCCATTAAATCTCTAAAGTACATTCCTGGTTTATTCCCTCCCACCCCCCGAGAATAATATAGCATTCAATTTTCCAATTATATAAATACATGAACAGTGGATTACTAGAGGCAGATAATTGAATATTTTGACTATACTACAAGGGACCTTTCATATTTGAAGTGGAAGATGAATAGAGCATGCAGCATCAGCCTGTGGATGCACGAGCTATAAAAACCTCTATTAGATCCAGAGAGTATAAAGGTCTCCCATAGAGAGAGAGATCTTATCAGTGTTCAATATACAATAGTTAATTTATTCCACTGATACCAGGGTAAGTTATACAACTGCAAAACTGGGATATTTCAGGCCACACATCGTAGTACTTCAAAGGTGCAGGGAAAAGCATTTGCAGTCATAGCATTTCAAATCCAACTCCTCTGTAACTCTGTCTTTACAGGACATCAATCATGAGATGAGAGGAACTGTAAGCTATTTTCCAGTAACACACTGCCAATCGCAAGACAAATGTCAGATGTCACAAAAGGAGAAGTAACCATTTTTCAACCTGTGAATGTCTTCAAATATATTACAATGAAAGTGTGAAAAAAATGACCCTTTCAGCTTCATTTGTTCTGACAGGTGCCAGACTTTGGAGTTCTGCATTTTATCTTCATACTGCAATAATCTTTATGACATTTGAACAAGGCTGAGGGCAGTGGCATTAGTGAGTCTACAACTGTCCTCTTATGTACAATACATAAAATTTCAAAGTCCGGCTGTTGAACTAAAAAATATCATCGACTACTATTTTATTTGTGTTACAGAAAAAGATAAGGAGAAGGGATGCCCACATCTGAGATTAACACATGCTGGGGACTAGTTTTGTGTGGGCTCAGCCTGACTCCTGCATTGCATTGTACTGCCATGCTGCTATTGCCACTTGGGAAAAACACATGCTGCTTAAAACTGAAATCAGGAAAAAAACTACAAATATTCCCTGAAGTGAAAACTCACTTGATGCACCATGTGTGCATTTAGTCCCTGACTTGAAACAGGTGGACTCCCCCTCAGTGACACAGCACGTCTCGGGGCACCAGCCACTGAAACATTTTGACATGGAGCTCAGGGAATGATATCCGACCCAAAGCTCAGTGCCCATCTCAAAGCTGTGCCAGTTCTAATAGCATGGAGGACACAAAAATGTAAGCCAAGTCATTAACATTAAAGAGTAGAACAAAGGAGGAAAATCAAGCTTAGATGCAGCCATTCATTATTGCAATAAATGGGAGACCATAAAGAATTTCACTCAACACCCCTGAAGTTCCAAGTCATTCCTGTCCTTCCAGCCAGTCTCATGTTCTGCTTAGCCCCCACAAGAAGTGTGATCATGGAAGTCATGGTTCATTTCCTGGGTAATAAAACCCCTCTGTACAACTCCAGCTCTACAGCCCAGCAGTTTTGACACATCCTTAGATCTAATTTGTACAGAGTTACACTGTTATTTAAGGGAAAAATGAAGGATATGAGCAAAGACACAAAGAAGATCTGCTCCAGATGTTACTGCAGGTTCCAAAAGGGTAACAAACATGCAAAAGACAAAAAAAAGAGCAAACCTAGAATACAGTTAGTTTAGGCTAAAGTCAGTGACAGGGTTGGTTCCACTGGAATTTAGATGACCTCTTAGGCCTTTACACTGTATACAGCTTTCTGCAGAAGCAGTGCTGAATCCCTGAAGACAAAACCACCACTTGATTCACCAATTTGACTTAAGAAAGTAAATCTTTTTCTGTGAATAAGTGTGAGCTTATTGGTTCTGTGGAAGCAAAAGGATAAACAGTTTTAGTTCTTTAAAAAACTAACAGTACTTGTCATGGCAAAGACATGTACAAAGAAGTAGAAGCCAAAATATTATTTCAGTGCTTTAAGACTGACTTTAAAAAATAAGTACATAGACACTGACCAAATCTGTATTGATTTCAACACCTACAGTCCAAGCCATAGAAAGAAGATAATCAAGACCTGAAGCCTGACCACAAGCGTAATTTGAGATTTCAGTTCTCCAGTCTGGTATTTGTGATTGCAGTTCTTTCCTTGGTTGCTGTGACATGTCCTGTGCACACAAAGCAATGTAATTCCTTTGACACGAGTGTGCCTCAGCCAGTGCAGCCAATCCCATGACACTGGTTATCATTCCCTGTGGTCTGGTCCTTCTTTTCCACACACTCAGGATGAATGCACAGTTTGTCATGGGATTTGCACGGTAAAACCCTCAGAGAGGTGAAGAAATAGCCATTTCCAGAGTCATTATTTGAAAAAGGGAGGTTGCAGTAGACTTTTTGAAAAACAGAAATAAAAAATAGAGCTGGAAGAAGTAGTTGTCACTGAAATGAAGGGATTGCAGTCCAGTCTCTCCTGCAGCAGGACACGTACCTGGCTGGGTATTAACGCCCTCAGCTGCGATGGTTTCTGTACCCCGAGCACCCCGTGGCCGTGGGGCTGGCGGGGGCCCCGCGGGGCTCGGCGAGGCCGCAGCCCCACACCAGGCGCTTCCCATGGGCAGCCAGGCGACACTCGCAGAGCTCGAGCAGCGACAGCACCTGCCTGTGCAGCGGCAGCGCCTTGTACTTCTTCTGGGCCAGGCAGAAGAACGCTTCCACAAAGGCTTGCAGACACATTCCTGCAAGGAAAAGGTGCTCACAGAGACTGGAGTGCGGCATTTCTAGCAGCCTGATTCCTTAGGGATAATGCAATGTCTTTGTTGTGGCAGAAAGGCCAGGTGAGTGTGATGGGTGTGAACACAAACAATCGTGCTAGATTTCGTGCATCTTTTCATTTAAATGGCAGCAATCTGGAATGCTCAGAAAGCAAAGAAATTGTCTGTCCCTCAAAGACCAAAAGCCAAGGCTTTATTTGTCACACTCATTGGGTGCTTCAAGGCAGGGTAAGCCCAGGCTGGGTTACAGATGGGTGACATTCTCTATCACTGAGGCAGCTTCTGGTTTTGCAGACCTCAGCCTGCAATCCAGAGGCAAAGTGGTACAGCAAGGACCCATTTTAGGATATCAGACTATTAAACTGATGTAGTATTAGCCTTGATTTTTCCTGCCAAAATTATTAAGTTGAAACCAAATGAGACACACAGTAACATACTGAGCATCACGGAAAACAATCCAGCGGAGTGAAAAACAAGTTTATGTCGGCAGCCGAATGGAGTCTTTTAGAGATGGATCTGACCCAGAAGTTCACACCAGTGTGTTATTTCAGTCTGTAGCCCTATGAAGGTAACCCCATTACTAAGTATCACCTTAGCAAGATATGAGTTTATTTGAAGCACTACTTCCCTCCTACACAGCCTCTACCAGGTACAAACCCTTTTGAAGGTGAAGAGGCCATTTTTTCAGTCATACCAAAAACTCCACAATAGTTGTTTCAACTGAATGAAAAACAAACAGCTGAAGAGTGAGTGCAGTGCCAAAAAATGTCTCTGCTATAATACAACTGCTCTACCCCTTCCCACACAAGAGTCCCCTGCAGAAGCCCCATGCTGCAGGGGAGACTCTTCAGCTGCTGTTCGATCACATCTCACTAATAGCACATTACCGGAGCCAAGGGGAAGAGGAGCTGAGTATTAACACTAATTATTGTATTTAAAACCTTGATGTAATACCTACTCAAATTCTTAATTAACAAGCCAGACCCCAATTGGTTGTGCAGAATGCCACAAGCTCTCCCAGTTTGAACATACACTTAAGAAGATTATTTTAGGATGAGATATTGAAAGGTTTGGGGTTTTTAACTGTGTTGGCTTATTGATGCTGTAGGAAAGGCACCTTTTCAAAATATGACAATTACATTCTGAAGTATAATTTCTCTCAACCAAGGCTGCAGCTGGGGTCGTTTACGATCTTGGCTGTAAAACAGCTTGCAAAGGAATTGTTGAGTTATCTGAAAGCAGCAGCTGCCAGCTCAGTAAATTATTTTATCAGTCACGGTGAGCTGCAGGCAGGGAAAGCACCTCTGGTAACACACACACTTTCTCCCCAGAAGTGACACTCATGTGAAGCATATTATGAAAAAAGTTAGAAGCTGTTTTGGAACAACAGAATCATGCTTGTCTTGGTTACAGCTGGGAGTGGGCTAAACATAAAGCCAACAGAAACAGGTGGATAGTTTGCCTTTCAACACCTAAAAAGCATCTGGTTCATTGACACCATACACAAATCTCTTAGGTTTTGAAAGCCTGAAGATTCAGTTGCAAATCTGTTATTTTTTCTGGTGAAGTTCTACCAGCCAACCATCTAAGTGATTTATAGCCTGAAATGCTAAATGCAAATACTCAAATTTATATAGCTGTGAAATTGAGGTGACCCTCACGTACCTAAAGTAATACCACCCTGAAGGGTAACTGCCACAGCACTAACCAGGAGAATTGGTTGTGTATGTGCATGCCTCAGGTGTACATGGCTTCTTCCCATTTCTATCAAATGTTTGAGGTGTACTTGAGCAACTAAAATTGGAAAAAAATAATCCCAAAAGTCAGATTTCATAGCTTTTGAATACAAACCTGGGTTACTTGATTCCTTGTGGTCAATGCTCATGCTGTTCCACCTCCTTGTGATATCAATATATAGGATATCTACAGCAGCCATTGAAAAATTGCTATTACTCAGTTTGCAGTTTCTGTTAAAAAGCAACAAAATAAAGATGAGATTCTCATTACATCCAAACTCCCAAGTTAGGAAAAATTCTGCAAGGGCAACTTGCAGGAGAAAAGTTTACCCATGTCATGTGTACAGACCTACTGTAACATGCTCAGTCTAACAAAACACACACAGCAGAGAGCAAACAAACCAGCATTCATTAAGTGCTCCTATCTGAATGGAACAGGCCCAAACCCAGAATATTTCAATTAAAAATATGACTCAGCTGTTACACAGAGCTTTCTCCCAGGGTATTGCCAGTACTCTGAGGCTGTAAGAGATGGAATTAATTGGTACACTGCAAAACCCACCACAGATCTGCACAGACTATCTGCATGAGGCAGGATTTGCACAGAGAAATACCCTTTTATTTGTCTGACTGATCCCATTTGGAAAAAGCACAGCCTTGCTTCTCCATGCCTGAACACCGAGAGGATTTGCCCTGGTGGAATGGAACCTGCATGGAAAGCAGCCCTGGATGCAGCTCGGGCTGCAGGGCTGCGGAGCTGGGACTTTGTGTGGCCCGAGTCCACAGTGCAGTGTTGATCAGCCCTGGGAACAGCCCCGTGTCCAGGATTTCCAGATGTCTGGCAGCCTGGCTGCCACCACTGCATGTGCCAAAGAGCTGGCCAAAATTTCTTGCCAGAAAAGGAAAAAAAAAAAAAAAATCCAAAAACACAACCCACCCCAAACTCAGATAATTGAAGCAAATCTCACTCTTTAGTAATCTCAACAGAGCTCCTTTAGAACAGAGTAAGGCCTTGCCCTAGATAGCCCAAAACCTCCCAGGCAGCATCCAAGCAAGACTACAGTCAGTATTTCCCTTTTAGCCACTTTTTTAGAATGAAGAAAATACTAAAGGAGGAACAGATTTTGATGAGCCAGAATTTGGGTGGACAGTCTTTGCAAGCACTTGCCCACACACAAAATCCCACTCGTGTACCATTTTTCTCCTGAAAAGTGATAAAACGCACGGAAACCTGACCTTCCTTCTGAAATGAACAGCAGTGACAGCTCTTCAAAAAAGGGCCTTATAGCTGCCATAAATGCTCTGGGAGAAAATAAACAAAAATATCTGCCAGTATTAAAAAGTTTAATTTAACATGCATTAAGAAACTGCAAATGCTATTTCATTGCACTATGGCAATTTATCTGAATATTCTTGAAAGAAAATGTTGGCATTTATTCTGTGTTCCTCTGACAAGTGCCAAAATAAGGCTGGATAAAACTACAAAAAATACAGAACTGGATGCAATCCTGTGCTGGTCTGTGGATAGAGCAGATGCCTTCAGACATTTTCTATATATCATAATTTGTACAAACCAAGTTGTTTTATATTCTTTCCTGAATGCTAAATGCATCTGCATAGAAACAGGATCTGTGTTTTAAGAGTACATCTGCTGCTGCTGCTCATTTCTTTTGTCATAGTCAATGAAAGACAGAAAATGAGGTATTTGTACCATGACTAGAACAGATATAGCCATAAAAAACAATGAAAAAAATCCTCCTAAATAAAAAGTATGTGAAAAAATAAATTGAGTTCCTTGACATTGCAAAGTGCAATTTCACAATGCAAATCTCCCTGCACGGTGCATCAGGGACTGGCATTTGGGAATCCTTCCTGCAGCCTGGGGCGGCCGGCGGTGCCCCCACAGCCAACAGAATCACATCAAGTGACCCAATTTCAGTTGTCACTTCCTCACAATGATATTTCTACCGTTTACTGGGAATCTGACATGTTGACGAAGACGGCAAATTGTATCTGCCAAAGCATCTCTGATCTGCTGTCAAATAAAGACCCAACTTCTTCCCAGACACACACTCACAGGCCAGGTATTTCTGGAGCTTGAATGGATGAAAATGTATTTTAGAACAGAACAGGCACTGGCTACATGCTGGAAGGCATCACAAAGGCCACAAGCTGAGGGTGTGCCACAACAGGGCCAGCTTCTACCTCACTGACCTTATAAAGGTGCGGAACCCCGTTGGCCCCAGCTTGGTTGTCCCTTTGACGCCGAGGAAGCGGATGAAGAGGGCGGCCACCCTGTCCACGAGGCGCAGGTAGCTGAAGTGCCTGGCGTACTTGGGGAACACCTGCTTGAGGAACAGCGAGGGCAGCGCAGCCTCGGGGCTCGCGGCGGGCGGCTCCTCGGGGCTCGGGCACCTGCGGAGCAGAACCGCACAGGGCTCAGCTTGGGAGGGATCCGAGCTCGTCCCAGCCAGCCCCGGCCACGGGGACACCTCCCACACACCGGGGTGCTGGGGGACACCGAGGCACCGCTGCTGGGGTGGCACTGCCACACTGCGCTTTACAGAGCACACAGCCTTCTAAGACTGCTGCTGCAAAAAAATATTATATTCTTTTGTATCCACACTTATATTCACTGAGGTGTAATGTCTACAAATGTGATCACTGTTTTTATAAAAGTCTTTAAATAACAAGCTTAGGTTGTTATTTATTGATAATGTTCCTCTTTGCTGCAGATAGCAAAGTAGAAAAATTATATATTTTTGTCATTAGTTAAGTAAAGGTTCGTTATTAGTTTTGTTCTTTCTCATGTAAGATCGGATGGTGGTGTCACTGCTGTTGATCACCTGCCAAAAGAGCAAGAGTATGTACAGCCAAGAAAACAAGCACACAGGCTTTTATTTTTAATCTTTAAAGGTCTGTTCATGAATTTAAAAATTCAAATCTTCAGCCAGTTGAACCAGACCTTGACCAAATGTGAAACCTTGTACTCAGCAGAGAGGAGGTTGTGCTTTGTGTAACACAACTCTCATTTTAATGATGCCTGGAAGCCCCAAACCCTTTCTCATTCTAAATTCAACAGCATTTTGAATTGTACATTATTAATTCATCATTAACGTTTTTAGTTAAAAAAATATAAATCTTTACTTTAAAAGGCAGAAGCAGAGTTGAACATTTCATTTTTTATAGCAAACACTAGAGACTATTAAAGGGATCAGCTTCAGAGCCCTGAATTGTGCCCAGCACTCTCGGAGTGTGGCTGGAGATTTGTCCATCCACCCAACTCCCTGAAACAGGGCTTGGGAACAACAAACATCTCCTCCTCTGCAGACCTGCAGCTCCTTCCCAAACCACTCCTCTTCCCTGCTGGAATTTCTGATGAAGTACTTTAAAGGAGGTTTTTTTCAGCCCTTCATTTTTTCAACCTCCATCCTCCACAGCAATGAGAAATGTCACAAAGAAAACTCAAACCAGAACCAGTGCTCTGGACACAATCATCCCTGCTGGGAGCCACAGAAGGCTCTGTCTCCCTGGCTGAGGGGGAATGGACACAGTCAAATTACTAAAATATCTTTGGTTTGGTTTAGGGCATAAAAAGAAAATTGTATTTTGGTCAAAGAAAAAATATTCTTGAATGCAATAAAGCAGAGGCTCTAAATTACCACCTAGAATTTCCTGCTTCCCCTCCTTTCTAGGAGAAAAGCCCACAACTGTCTTTGAGGTCATGCATAAAACTCAGAACCAGCATCCCATTTCAACTTTTACTGAAGTTTGGAGAGAGCTCTTAAATCTATATTTCTTATTGGAAAAGTATTTTAAAATTAAAACCAGCGGGTTTTTTGTATGCTACTGCATGTCTCATTCCTTTCCACTTATACATTGGGAAAGTCTGTAAAATATTTAACCAGAACAAGAAAACTTAATCTAGCCTTTATTGCCAAATGTTGTACTGACATTTGGGAAGAAAAAAAAAAAAAACAAACTGAATATACTTCTTGGTTTGCTTTTGCCGGTTAGGACTTTTATAAAGTTTAATGATTTGTTTTCATTCTTTAGCTTCCCTCACAAGATTTCCTTACTTTTCTTTTTTTAAAACACTAGAGCCCAATTAATATGATCAAACAATTTGAATTACAGTGAAAGATATATTTGGCAGTTCTAATAAAACTCAGACTTTCCAAAGCAAACCTGCACAAGGGCTTGCCTGTGTCTGCACTATGAATTGATCCACAAACCTGCTTATTCTGCACACTTACCTTCCCTGATTTACACTGACTGTATTCAGAGTACAATTCTCCACTGCTACCACAGACACTATCTCAATAAAAGTTTATTTTCTGTATTATTCACACACCTGTGTGCCCTCCCCTCGGTGTGGTCTCAACATGACTAATTAAGACAAACAGCCCGGGTAGGTGCCTACAGCCAAGTGCAGTGCCTATAAATACAGAATTTTACTGTGATTGCATATTTTCCAAGGAAGGGGTGCACAGCCCGTTTTTTGCCTGAGCACTCAGACAAGTTCACCCCCTGCAATGCCCCGTTTTGTGCTCTCCAGTGTTTGGCTGCCACCTGCCAGCGCCACAGGGGTCACCCAGCCAAAAACAAGCAGAGCTTCCTCAGAGCAGAGCAGAAGGAAGAAAAAGCAGGGAAAAAACAAGCAGACAGAAGCAGAGATGATGTCAAGAGTGCAGGAGGAAGGAGCTACAAAGAGCAGAAATACAGCTCCGAGTCCAGCAACAGTGAAAATGTGAGGGGGATTTTCATCTCCGTGTCTGCCTTTAGCTCAGCTGTCACCTGGAAAACACAGACATAATCATTTTTGTAATCTCACAGAATGATGGAACAGTCTGAGCTGGAAGGACCTTACAGCCCCTGCAGGTCCATCGATGGCAGGGACACCTTTCCCTGTGCCAGGCTGCTGCCAGCCCTGCCCAGCCTGGCCTGGAACACTGCAGGGAGGGAAGGGGCAGCCACAGCTGCTCGGGCACCTGTGCCAGGGGCTGGGAACCTCAGGGACTCACTGAGTGCTGCTGTGGGGCTGTGGGGAAGGGACCCGGAGCTCCCATCTCCACAGAGCCCTGCCCAGCTTCCCTCCATTTGCTCCTCTCCTGTGGGGCTTCCAACAGGCCAGGGGAGGAGAAGAAAGCTGAGCCCCACTCTTTAAAGCTGCGCGTAAGAATTAATTGCTTTGACTGACACAGCTGAGTCAGGCAAATGAATGAAAGGTCAAATATAAGGTAATGCTTCTGTTGCCACACAGAAAAAAAGCAAAGCTTCATTTACATACTAATGTCTGACCTCAATACATTAGTTTCTCTAATTCTGCAGCTTATGAAAGATCACTCTTTAGAAATGATCAACTGTGGTGCAGCTTTAAAAAAAAATTAAAATTTTAATAAAGCTTATGGAAATTATATCTAAGACTACTTATCTTTTATACATGATTACTAATTTATTAATGTTTCCTCCATCTATGTTTTATTCCTTTCTTTCTGACCAGCCTTAATCTTTATGCAAATACAACTTGCTAAGGGACAAACAAATTTGCAACTACTAATTAAAGGCTTCAAAATTTGCAGCATTTTGTATGCTTGTATATAAAATTTAGCTGTCAAATTCAGAGTAAAATGGGGTAAGAATCACAATATTAATATTTCTAAGAATGCTTAGTTGATGTATTTTACATTTAGGGCATTGCTAGAAGTATAAATTAAGCAATTTCAGTATCAGCTTACAAGTGCTTACCTAATAAAAGAAAATACTATGTTCTGGATTCTGAAGCTATAATTATTCCCTCAGCTGAGCCTCTATTCTCCAAGCAAGGACTATGTTAACATAGTTAAAAGCAGAGAATATTTTGCATGACAAATCTATCTACTCACCCATTTATCACCACAGAATATGGACCTCCCAAAGAACAGGTAAGTGTTTGTACCTGGAGTGTGCAAGAAGGAAATATATTCCTGTGCTCATTCATAGAAATAAATCATTTAGGAAACTAAGGCCAAGCTAGAGCACTGTCTCTGGATTATCAACCATTCATGAATTTTCTTTTATGAACTAATCCCATTATTTTATTAACACAGAGACTTCCAGCACTCCCAGGATGTCATAGCAAGCAGTTTCATGGTTTGCCTGCATGTTGTGTGAGTAATCAGCTTTTGTTTTGTTCTGGCCACTATGAGTGTCATTTGAAGAAAATGAATATTCATCCCCTCTTCACCCTCTGGCAAAGTAAAAAAACATCAATAGCACAAGAATTTCCACTTTGCAAAATAATAATATAGTTGCACAAAGATAGAAGCATTAAAAGAATGTTAAACCCACAGAGTAAGAGATTTTTGACATTATGTTGGAAAAATTATGGCTCTTCTATAGACTTTATTCAACACTTTGGAGAATGCTTTGAGGCAGCAAAGCATCCCCAGTAAAGAGTCCATATTTCAAAGAGCAGAATCAATCAAACATAAGGATTGATAATCACCACGGTGTTGACAGACAACGAAAGTCTGATCACACCAAATACATTTTGAAAACACAGCAGCTGTCCTGTCTCTGGGAAGCAGAGAATGCTGCAAGCAGAATTTCCATCTCTCTCTGAGAGAAAAAAAAAAACAACCTGTATCTCAGTTAAAGAAACAAATTGGGTAAATCACCTCAGCTTCCAGGCCTGACGATGGTGTCTCTGTAGAAGGGTGAAAGGCACGGAGCACGCTGCTTGTTTTGGAGAGTTGGCAAACACATTTTGGTGAATCCATGGGTAAAATGTACTCCCAAAGCTTTGCCATTGGCTTAAGAAAACCAAAATAATTGATGAGACTGCTGGAGAAGTGCAGGCCAAGCCCCTGCAGCCTGTCAGCAGCCACCAGAGCAGCTCTCAGCGCAGCACCCGCCCGTTCCGGGCTCTCCGCTCTGTCCCTGGAGTGCTGCTTGTTTGCCACAGCCAGCAGCCCCCTTCCGAGAAGGATGGTTCACTGCCTCTTCAGATTGATGGATTTATTATAAAAATAAACACTTCCCATTAAAGATTAAATAGCTTTTGGCAGAAAACAGAAGACTGGAAAGTTTGCTGCTTTCACATAGTGTTAATGAGTGTTTCCAAGATGTAGAAACTTGGCAGGGATCCTGCTCTGCTCCACACCAGGGACACAAAGCCAGGGAAGAGAACATTACTGACATTTTCATTTCATATGCAGAGAAGTCTAGAGCTGTGGTTTGATCTCTATAGCCCTCCCTAATTCATCGTTTAAATAATTAAAGGAGAAATGCATCTGAGGAGTCTCAGGTGCTGAAAAAACCCAGCTACCAGCTATTTCCTAATTATTAATTGAGATTCTTTACTTCCAACTTTCTCATTTTAAGAATAATGGTGGTATCATTCTGTATTCACTACAGATTTATTACTCTTAATG